TATCAATGGCGCATTACGTATGCCGCCAAATCATCAATAGGACAGTCGTGGCGTACCTGATGTACTAAAGAGTAGGGGGGTCGCAGGAGACGTTAAACTGTCATCCGGCCACTCCGCTGCTGCATCCGAGCTTGCGTCGTAGTCCACAATGGTTTCGAGATCAATCTGGCTGTCAGTCACCTGGCAGGGCATCTGTTGCACAAGACAAACGACACCGTAGTACTTAACACTGGTCACAGCGGCATCACTTTTCAATGACCCTAACTTTTTCACCTAATATGAGATTCAAGAGGCTGCGAACCGTGAATGTCCAGAGGCCGCTTCACATCTTGGGATCACAATGCATGCGATTCGTGATACCTGCTTGACCTGAAACTGAAGTACAATTCGCTACATCGGCCAATCCAAATTTAGTGTTTGAATATTGAGTGACGAAAGACATGCCAATTTCCGAATGTGTCACCAGGCATTCCAGACCACCAGTACTTGTGAGGGCCGGCTCGTTCCAGGACTCTGGAATCCAGCGCGTCCAGAAGCAGTCCCGAGCAGTCTCAATTTCGCATTAGTGCGTGAATCAATTGTCTCAACTGTTTTGCCTCTGAAAAATTGCGAGAACGATGGACCGCTGCAAATATCAGCTTGTGGCTCGGATGCACTTGGGACACCGTGCAAGTGCTCGCCTCCCGCCGCCCCCCCCTCCCCCCCCGGTTAGAGGCTTCATAAACGTTCCAGGGCTGGGAGTTAGACAAATTCGTGAATGCTTTTGATGTGGGTGCTGATGGAGAATAAATCGATCAGCTTTCAGAAGAGTTGTGTGAAGTGCATTCCGTGGCGAAAAGGGAAGGGCTGCGAAACAGCCTGTGCAAGGTGTTGGACTGTACATCTCTGTTCCTGTGGCTCCAATTGTGTGTGCACGTCAGACGGCCCGTTTGCTGATGCAACTCATAGCTGATCCAATTCATGCCTTCCAACGACATGAATGATCGTATCGTTGTTCAGTGGAGCACTGGCTAAGCTGCATTGTGTGGGTGGGCTCCGGGGTATGCTGCACAGGCTGTATAGGCTTTGTGCAGCTGCGGATGTGTATCTCACCTTCGGGGCGAAATTCGCGGACTGTCAGGTCGATTGCAGCCCGCCCGTTTCCTGTGAGAGCCTCTGCTGCGGGGTGGCGCCTGAGGTTGCGAAAACGAGCCTTCTGCGAAGAAATCCAGCAAGCAAAAGAGTTTCGAAACTGAAAGGGAGCGAAACAATTGCACGCCTGTCAAACCAACAGCGGTCTGCTGCGGAGCGCTTCTGACGGCAAATGTGCCTGCTCACTCCTCGTGTGAAGCGCCCGGGGGAGTCGGGCGCGTTTGCACGCCACCTCCGTCCAGACCTTGTCACACCAAAGGCTCTGCGACCAGCCTGGTTCGCTGGCAGCGCGTTCGCAGCCATGTGGTCAAACGTAAGCGAGGAATTGCGGCGACTTTCAAGCCGAAAGTTCGACCCTGCGAGTGGACATACCCTTTGTCAACGTCGAGGACGCCTCGCGGGGTGAAGCCGCCCTAGCTGGCGGAACTGTTCCAGTTCATTGATAGTGTGAGGAGGCATATGTTGAAGTGTTTGCTTCCAGCTGGTGCGGGCCCCTCCACGCTGAACTCATTAGTAGAGCTTGTCCGCGACCATGGCAGGCATGGAAAACATAATCTACTTAGAAGAGATGGCGGCGAGCCCGCATGTGTGGCGCCGTGCGGCACGTCAGCCGTCACAAGCAGGAAACCGTTGGTGCAGCAAAGCCGCGGATTTCATTTCACCATTTGTGGAAACACCCTTGCATGGCCATAAAACAGGCAGGAAAGGTCTTGTGGCTTCGAATTTCTTCTGTTGCACGAGTTATAAACGAGTTGCGGTCCCCAACGTTTTCCTCAGTGGATGGAATTGTTTTCAGAACTTTGCAAGTTACAATCGTTACAGTCGTTCAAGGCATGGCGAAGCACTGCAGCGCTTTAGCTTTTTGGCATTCTACGGTGCACCACTCTGCGACTGAACGCGAATCAGTGGTGGATGTGCACGTGACTGCTGCAATACCAGCCGCAGTGCCGCCCACTCGAGGCGTCGCCAAGGGCGCCACATAGGCAACGTCTCAAAGAGGACAGTGCAGTTGAAAACTCTGCACACAGCTGGGCCAGCATTGGAAGAGAACTGCAGCGCTCGAGCCACGAGCTGCAATTGCACAGCATGCCACAAGGGAAGGCAAAACTCCTCTCTGGCTCCTCACCAGGGGCTCTGTATCACACAAAGCTACTCATTGTGCAGCTTCCCCTCCCTTTCTTTGGCAGCGCTTTGGAGGTGATACGACTGGCAGCGAGTCTCTGGTGCTCTCGCTCTGGTGGTAGCCGCCCTGTGACTCAAGTCAGGTGCCCATGGAACAAAGTCCCAGCCCTGACAAGCTGCTGTCGTGACAAATTCTGTCATGTTCACGCCATGTGACCTTGTGATAGGTTTTTGACTCCAGGGCCTCCATTGGGAAAACCAGTCCCCAAAAAGTGTAGGGGTTGCTATTGCTGCCAGACACAGTTCACACAAACTCATCCTAAAGGCCAGCTGCGGCAAGTGAAAGTCGCCGAAGGATTTCCTGTCCGCTGCATGAGCCTGGGGAGAAAAGTGGAAACGTTTGGACAGCAGATGAACAAAGGGTGAAGTCGTCACAAACTCAATAAAAGGAAGACAGCAGTTGTCAGGAAGTGTTGCATGCTTGCCATCACGAATTTTTTGCAAGTTGAACAGAGGCAGCGACAGTGTCCTTGCAAATGCCAGTCCATAAGGCAGTGCATCTGGTCCGCAGATCATCACTGCGCCATTGGCCCTTGACTCTAGCCCCTTCCCAAAAGGGGCGCTGTATGTTAGTAATCAAACACCTTGTGTACAGCACCCTGCCCTTTTCCCATAATGACATGGAATGGATAGCAAGGCACGTTGTGCATCAGCCACATCTTCCAACCCACTGAAAGGGTAGAAGTTCACAACTCCCTGTGCAAAGGCTACAAACAAGAGATTTGGCGACATTCCTTTAGAGTTTCGTCACGCTGTAATCTTGTAGCCTTGCAATACTCCGATGCTCTACATCTGGCATTCACCAGCTCCAGACAAGCATGCAAGGGTGGGTGGGATTGTGGGTACATTAATGAGACGCCATGCGAATGTCAGAGTGTATCGAACGTTCATACCAGCACAATACAAGCATAATCGCCTGTTCTCTGTTCAAGAGTCATCTCCACAGCCGACGGGTGTCCTTTCTTGTTTCCAACATTGACAAGGGCTCACAGCCTTGGGCAAGCCAACTCAAACGGCTGGTGCGTTGGGGGCAAACATGCACACAGGTCGGGTTGAAAAGCATCTGCACAACGACGGAACCGAAAAGGCAGCCTGCATGACCGTAGCCTGATCCGTGCTTGCCACAGTTGCGAAGCGCTGGGCCTTTCCCCGTCCAAGAAAAAAATCCATCCTCTTGGAGGGTGAGAACAGCTGCCATGTCGAAAAAAGAACTGAAAAGATCCAGGCGCAGGCGATATCCACGAGCGCTGCAGCCAGGCACGCGATGGACCACCGCAGCGCCGGTGAAACACGCCGGCCTTTCTCACTGCCGGCCTGCACCTCGCCAGAGACACGACCCTGCTCGGCCGAAGCGCAAATGAAACGCGGAACAGATTCAGCCCCTCGAATGGGCAGCAAAACGTCCAGCGTCGCACGTGCTTCGTCTGCCAGTTCCTTACACAACCGCGTTCCTGGGTTGCCACCGCGGCCATCGCCCCGTCATCCAAAATTCAGTTCATGTCATACGAAGTGGCGCCGCATGCGCGCGTGGCTACGCGCAAGCAAGTCGTCCGCGGCGCTGTCCAGTTTGTTTCGAGGGCTGTGGACTCGCCTTCGTGCCGGGATAAGCGCGCTTGACCAGCTATTTTCGAAGTGCCAACCGTGCATATCCTGATGACCACTTTTTGCACTTTCTTACGTGACGAACCCCACACCCAGCCACACTGGTGGAGCGGAGGCAGTCCGTCTCTGGTCTGCTGGCACTGTTCAATGCCGCACGGAGCAATGCAGAGAGATGCGACAGAGCGCTGTGGGCCAGACGGAATGGGCACCAGGCAGGGAATGGGGACAGCAGCGGCCAGATGCCTTCCGTCTCAACTTTGGGAGCCAACACTGGAAACGGCCATCAAAGGTCGCGCGCGCTCCAGCGCGGAGCGTGTCCAATGGGCCTGGATCGCTCCGTTCACAACCGATTCGAAACGGAAGGCAGCTCCGAACCAAAATGCCGACAGCGGGGGGTTGTCCCAGCGACTCGGCGTGCTTCCACGCCAGCGAGGAGCGGCGAGGAGTGTCTACATCTCACCGCGGCCGGCATCGACAACCTTCAACAAAAGGGCCCATTGGAATCCGCGCCGGGCTCGAACAGACCTGAATCTCCTGTGAACGTTCCCGCGCCCAGCTCGATCGCTTTCGCCGACCAGAGCTCACACCCGCGCACGACCTCGCGTCTGCCCCACACGGCCGATCGTAAAGACCCGCGCAGCCTGTGTGCGTGGGGGTGGGTAGGCGGGTGGGTGGGGGGGTGGGGCCGCCCGCCCAGGTCGTTCGCAGTGCACGCCCCTCCACAAGGCCACCCACACGACCCACGGCTGCCGGAGGGGCCAAAAGCGCGACAAAGCTGAATAAAGCGTTGCCGGGAGATTGCAGGCAGCGGCCAGGCTGCCGGGCGTGCGCGCCAGGCGGCATCTTCCCCCCGCGCGTGTCCGGCGCGGGCGGCTGCGGCCCACGAATCCCGTGCGGCATCCGTCCTGTGCCCCAGATCTGGAAACCACCAGATACGGCACAAAATCAGCAATTCGGGGATCTGCAATCTGGCCGCTTTCCCGGGTGGGGAGTATAAATCCGGCGGCCCGACCTTGGGACTCGCAAGTCCCGCCCATTCGCCTTGAAGTCTTCCCCGCCTCCCCCCTTCCCTCCGCAAGGCAGCCATGGCCTCCGCTATGTCGAGCTTCATGGGCACTCGCCCCGTGGTGACCGCTCAGCGCCCCGCGCGCGTGAGCGCCCGCATGGTCACCCGGGCCGCCGCCGACGCATACCCCGTGAGTGCTCTCGCCCGCCATCCGAAAGATGATGTCTGTTTTGCCTGGGTCCGAAGGGAGGCCCCTGCTATCGGTGTTCGTGGACGAGTTTGAGCTGTGTTTGGCTGGCTGTGGTTGGAGGCGAGTTTCTGCTTCGATTGGGCGCTGAACGGCTGAATGGCTGCGGTTCGCAGGAGCCCGGCAAGAACCCCTATGATGGAGACTTCTCCGACCTGCCCTGGCCCAACTGGGCTGACGGCAAGTCCGCCGACGAGATCGCCAAGGTAACCACCGCGGCTGCCAGCGTTTCGCGACTGTCGCTTGGTGTTCCCACCTGCATCTCGTTTTCCCTGTTCTCCAGCCTCGTATTCATTTTCTGACCCTGGCCTCGCGCTGTTTCACAGTGGCAGGAGCGCGAGCTGATCCACGCCCGGTGGGCCATGATGGGCTGCGCCGGCGCCTGGGGCGGCGAGGTCGGCACCGGCGTGCCGTGGTTCAAGGCCGGTCTGCTGTGCACCCCCGAGGACTGCACCAAGATGAACAGCATCTTCCCCGGACAGGTCCTGGGCCTCGCCCCCGAGGGCTCCGGCTTCCCCAACTTCTACGCCGTCCTGGCCGTCGAGGTCGTCGCCATCGGCCTGGCTGAGGCCTACAGGACGGGCCTGATCGAGCCTGCCTACCCCGAGCTGGAGGTCGGTGACCTCCACCCCGGTGGCGAGCACTTCGACCCGCTCGGCCTCGGTGCTGACCCCGGCAAGCTTGATGAGCTCAAGGTGACCTGCGCCCTGCCTGTGCTGCGCTGCACTGGTGTCTGCGGTGCTGGGGGACTCGCTGAAGTGCGTTTCGTTCCGAGGGGTCTGCTGCGCAGTGCACGCGCACGATGCGGTACCGTGACAGTTGTTGCCACGGTGTGGAAAGTTCGAACAGGATAGAGCTGGACGTAAAACTTGCAAGTATACAACTCGCCATGTTTTTTGCAGAGGGGTGTAATCAGTGTGGAGTCGCACGATTTTGGCCCTGTGGATAAGTTAAAAAGTAGTGGGGGAACTCTCACCGGAGTGACGCTGACTATGGGCTTTGTGACTGTGCAACAGCTGAAGGAGCTGAAGAACGGCCGCCTGGCCATGGCTTCCTGGCTCGGGTACCTGGTCCAGGCTTTCGTTACCAACCCCGGCAGCGACCTGCCCTCCTACTCCGAGGGTGCCCCAGGCCCCTACGCCAACTGGCAGGCGCACGTCGCCGACCCCCTGGGCGACAACCTGTGGAAGTACATCGGCAACTAAGCAGCTGCTGCAACCAATGCGGGCATTTTGACTTCTTGCGGTTAGAATGGGTTGCAGAACCTTGCGAGAAGGGACGGAACGCGGAGAAGCAATTGACCGAATGGGAAGACAAAGCGAACACCTTGTATTGGGGGAAATATGACTCCTGTAATTCAATTCTTTCTCTGGGATTCATGTTATGTCTCCGGATTGCACAGCTTGACGGGATTCGATGCCGTTGCAGAGTCCCGAGTCTCCGAAGCTGTCTCCTGACTTGCCCTGCAAGTGTCCAAGCACCAAACCGCAGACATGGCCATTCTACAATCGCACGGAACCGATCCTCGCACCGAGGCAGCTCGTCCCCGTCGCACCAGGAAATAACAGTACCGTGCACAGGGGTGGAACTTGCAACATCATCTACCGACTGATAAGCATTGTGGCAATTTCCACGCTCCTTGGGAATCGGTGGCACGCATGCCCAAAACACTATCCCGCTGAGGATCCCGGCTAGCAACAGTTTATCATTAATTGTTCACAGGGCAGTCTCCAGAGACTTGTTAATACGTTTCACAGAAGTGGGCAGGCCTCACCATGCTAAAATGCGCAATTGTACTGTGAACAGAGGCAAAATCTCCCGAGTGCAGCGGGGATTCAACACATAACACGGCATCCATAATACCCACACATTTGCGTTCCTCGTGCTCATCCCTCGTCGTGCACTCGGACGGGAAGGAAGTGCAGCCAAGTCAAGATTCTTGTTACTACTACAGGCAGTCGCAAGTGCGCGCTGGCGATGCTGGGAGCGTTCTTAGGGTATACAGATGCCTCCGTCGCTTGCAGTTTCTTCCTCAGAAATTGCACCAGTAGAAACCGACTTCTTAGCGATGCCAACTGCGATGGCGTTTGACACTATTTGATGCCATCGCAATCACTTTTGTGCCATCACAACCGCTGTGATGGCGCCACTTTGTGTCACTTTGTGGCATCGCAGTTGGCCTCCCAAACATGGTGTTCGCTGATAGTGTTGTCGAGCAGCTGTTCCAATAAAACCGTTTGACATGTCGCCACGTGACAAGGGCAGACAAGGCACTCTCTCAAGGACAGCTATGGGTTGGTTTCGAACTGCTGGCCTTGGCAGGTTATTGCAGCGACAAGGCTAGATGTGTAATGTAGTCTTGCCCACCATGCTAGTCGGACAAGGAAAGCATTCCTCGAACAGAAGTGCAAGCACCCAAAGCACAAGAGCTCTTTGCAATGGGTTGTGAGTCCTGTCACAGAAATGCAGGCACCGTGGGACATTTGATCTCAAGTGCAACCCCTGGCGATACATCGCACTGTCCATCTGCAGCCTGCTTTCTGGGAACCCTTCATTGAATCAGCGAAGGGAGCTCTGCCATTTTCCACAAGAACTTGACTTACTGGTTTGGGACACTGCTTGGGTCACTCTCCAGCTACCCTAATGTGTGATTAACAAATTTGGCACACCCTCTAAAATATGCTCCAAGGGGATGAGTGTAGCGCACCAGCAGCCATCTTCTCCATGCAGTGGGAGTCTCTTGTTTTCATGTGCCTATGGCCTTGGTCGCAAGTTAACAATGCTGTGCACATTTAGTCGATGAAAACCCAGATGGTGGACCAATGGAATACTTCTTGTTTGGGACGCTCCATGTTTGATTTACAACTAAACCTCCACGCAATCTGATGAAATACAACATCGCACAAACGTGCTATATGCCAAAGTTCTGGCCCAGACTTCAGGCAAGCAGCGCCACTGGCAAACACATCATGTGTCCAATCTCAGACCGGTAGTATCCACATGCAAGCACAGCTGCCTGCAAGTGGCATGCCACGCTCGCTTCCCGGCCAATGCATTCCAAAACACAATCATGCGTAGTAGTTGAGATTGGCCTTCTTCTTTGCCTGCACCACTATTATGCCCTCCACAAAATCCTCATGCATCACTTCAACGGCATCTCGTCTGAGCGCCAGCATACCAGCCTCCACACATATGGCCTTCAGCATGGCTGCGTTGAAGTCGTCTGTAGACGCCGCAATCTCCTCATAGTTGACGTCAGGGGACACATTCATTTTCCTGGAATGTATTTGGACGATCTTGGCACGGTCCTGTTCAGTCGGTAGTGGCAGCTCGATCTTCCTGTCCAACCGCCCTGACCGCATGAGAGCAGGGTCCAAGATGTCCGACCTGTTGGTCGCAGCAATCACCTTGATCTCCTCATCGCTGCTGAATCCATCCAGCTGGTTCAGCAACTCGAGCATCGTCCGTTGGACCTCTCTGTCTCCGCTCAGCTCTGAATCGAACCTCTTCGTCCCAACCGCGTCTATCTCATCAATGAATATGATACAAGGCGACTTTTCCTTGGCCAGCGCGAAGGCATCCCGCACCATTTTGGCGCCATCACCGATGAACATCTGCACAAGCTGGGGCCCAGCCAGCTTGAGGAACGTGGCATTTGTCTGTGCGGCACACGCCCTGGCCATCAGGGTCTTCCCTGTCCCAGGAGGTCCGTACAGCAACACCCCTTTGGGCGGCTTGATCCCCAGCGTCTTGAACCGGTCCTTGTGAGTGATCGGCAATTCGATCGCCTCCCTCAGCTCCTGAATCTGCTTGCTCAGGCCGCCAATGTCCGAGTAGTCCTCCGTGGGCTTCTCATCGACCTCCATTGCCTTCACCCGCGAGTCGTACTCCGCCGGCAGGGTGTCCAAAATCAGATAGCTGTCCTTGTTCACCCCCACCAGGTCGGCCGGCCTCAGCTTGCTGGGATCCACCAGGCCCGCCACGGGCAGGAAGATCGTCTGCCGCGTGGACGTCTTGAGCACCACGCACTTGCCCTTCCTCTGCGAGTCCAGGTCCACGTTGGCGCCGTCCTCCTCCTCCTCCTCGTCCGGGTTCACGTCCAGCACCTCCACCACGTTGCCCACCAGGTAGGGCAGCTGGTTGTTGAGCTTCACCTTCTCCTGATTCTCCCTGATCTTGTCCCGCATCTGATTCTGGTCCAGCTGCAGCCGCGTGCACTCGTCCTTGAGCACCCGTATCTCGTTGTCCAGCCCGCGGGTCCGCCGCCTGATCTCGTCCGCGCTCATTTGCTTGAACTCCTCCGGCAGCTGGTCATCGGCGTCCTCGAAGATCGAATCCTCCAGGTCCACCATGGCTGCGGCGCTTCCTGCCTGCTCCGCGTCCCCCGGCCCTGTCCGCTCCACGCCCGCGCAAGAACGCTGCCCCTCGAGCCAAGCGGGCTGTCAGGTTCCAACCAACACGAGTCGCGCCACGCCTAGCATGTTCCATTCCTCCCTACACTTATTGGGGTCGAATGCTCCACTCTCAAAGCTGTCAAAAAAAGTGCTGTGGTCCACCCTCAACGCCGTCAAAGTACTGCGCGTTTTGCGCCAAACTCGCCAGGGAGGGCGCAGCAAACAGTGCAGTTCTAACCGGGGCTGATTGAGTATTATCAACAGCTGGACGCATTATGCGGTGATGAGACAATACGAACTGAATCCAGGACACTGATGAAAGCAACGGATATAATGGAGAGAATTCCGGTTGTCCCTTTGCTCCGCCGTGAAGCGTTGCCGTGTACTCGAGCCTGTGGTTCTCGGTCAGGGAACGCGCCCTCCGGCCCCGCCTTCGTCAGCGCGTCCTGTGCAACGTTTTGTTGCATTCCTTCCCACTATGAGCCGCCATTAGTTTCATCCAACCTGCGGACTTCATATCGAATCAACCCACTCTGCAGCGGCAACAATGGGGGGGCCGTAGGGGGGCTATGCGGGGCAGCAGGCGCATGGTACCGCTGGCGCGCCTCCAGTCCTGTGCCCGGCGCGCAAGACTGCTGTCCCCCTTTCCCAAGCCCTGGTCACCATTCTCGTCCTCCTCCGACGGCCCTGACGCCCCTGGCGACCCGGATGCCCAGCCCAATGGCCACGGCCGGGGCAGGGGCCGAGGCGCCCTGCCCAAAGGCTACCGGGAGCCTGCGGACGCATTCGAGTTTCGGTTGAGAGAAAGGAAGGGAGAGGCCTTGGCGGGAATGGGGCGCGGGGCGGCATCGGGGAAGCTGGCCGAGAGAGTTGGCTTGATGCCGATGGCCGATGATGGGATTGGGGAGGCGGGGAGATCGCAGGTGGCGGGCGGGGCCCCGGGGCCAAGGGACGACAGGGCGAGGAGATACGGTGAGGGCGGAGAGTCGGGGGCGGCCGCAGGCGACGCGGGTGCCCCTTCTCGATTGCGAGCTGCGCCTGATGAGGATGCCCAACTGCGAACACATGTTCATGGCAATCAGGGGGCTGATCGGGAAGATCCGATGCTTTCAGCATCCAAAGTGCAGGGTAGAGAACAGGGAGGTGAAACTTCTGCTGAGGGCATTGTTCCCATGGAGGCGACGCAACGGAGAGAAGTGGCCGAGTCAGTTGCATTTGGGGAAGCAAAGGCCGAGAAAAAGGCATGGGCAGATGGGTTGACCCCTGGGGCGAAATCGCATGCAGGGGGAGCAAAGCCAGAGGAAACGGCATGGGCAGATGAGTTGACCCCAAGAGCTAAATCGCATGCAGAATCTGATTGGATGGCAGAACTCTACCCACGACCTCCAGTGAAGCAATGGGGTACACGGGATCAGGCATCTGAATCACAAGATCAAGTTAAGAAGCCAGGCGTTGTCTTGCAAGAAAGGGCATCTCCAGATCTGGAACCTCTCGTAAGGGATGTGGAAGCAGTGCCTCCAACTGTAGGCACAACTGTTTCACCACAACACCGTGCCGAAGAGCAACATGTTGTGACAACATTGCCATCATCTGATGGAATGCAGGCAGTGACAATGGAAGGCAGCACACTGGAGAGGCTGACAACAGGGACGGGGACTGGAGAAGTGGCTACAGCAGCACACGTTGAAGATAAAGCAAAGAAAGCTGCAGAATTGAAGGAAGATGTGGCAACCCCTGAGCCCCATGCGTTGGCGTCTGCCGGAGAGCGACCTGAAGGGGAGCAGGCTGCTGAATCGGCAATGGACAGCTTCATGGCAAGACACGAAGGAAAAGTTGGTCCTAGTGATGAAGCATCAGGATTGGCTGATGTGCACGTGGGTAAAGAAGGGCAGGATGGCAAATCAGCAATCGATCGTTTCCTGGCAAGAGCTGCAGAAAGGGCTAGGTCCCAGGTACGCCGATCAGTAGTGGCCGACGCTGGTGTGGTGGACACCGATGAGGGTGGGGAAATCAGGGAATCACTCATGGAGAGGTTGGGCTGGAGAGCAGATGCTATGGCACCCACAGAAGGTGAGATAGGTGTTCATTGAAGCACACAGGCATAGCGCTGTTGCACTGACACAACGTTTTGATCTGTTTGGGCTGTGCTGTTGATTGATCTTGAATTGCATGGCGGTCCTTATGGTTGCTCTCAAGGACCCTTTGAAGAACAGCAGTCCACCGAAAGTGCATCTGCTCGGGTGCCCTGATATTGCTTACTTCCAAGCTGTCTTTTCAGTGTGGTTAATTGTGCGACAGCCCCAGACGTTGCTGAGCCTGTAAAATCGGTTCCAAGAAGCGAGCTGGCTGAGCGCCTGGGGTGGATCGAGGCAACACAAGAAGAGATTCCTTGGGAGGAGGAAGACGGGCGCAGGCCAGCACGGCAAAGTATGGACTGGAGACATGGAACAGGCAGGGGATATACCTGGTCACCGTACAAGAAGGAGAGAGAAAGCCCTGAAGAGCGAAGGCAAAGAGGAGTGGTAAATTTGATGTTTGGGTCGAATTGTGTGCCCAGCACATCATAAACTCATGGAAATGTTCATCGTACATTTTTCACAAGTAAACAGTGCCCTGCATGAAAGGCATCCGGAATATTTTCTGTTGCAAAGAATGCCAGAGGTTAGTGGCCTTGGCAAAGCCAATGATGTTGTGGCAGTCGAGAATGTCTCAGATACAGAGTGCCGATTGTCTTGTGTGCAAGACGTCCATTTTCAGTGAGCTGCCTAGATGCCCTATTGGCTGCTATCAGAACTGTTACAATTCTTACCCAGCCTAGCCTGCACACCTGTGAGCCCTGCTCCTTTGTGTACTTTGCACTTGTGTAGCTAATCAAAGGAACTTTAAGTGGCTTGGTGCAGCTGGCTTTGTGCAGGATTTGCCACTGACATTAACATTGGGCCCTAGGCTTTCTTGTGACTTTTCTCTGCCTGCCAGCAGAGCATGTCGATTAAGGCTTGATTTCACAGACGTCACCCAGGTTTATCTTTGCAATCACTAGAATGAGAAGATCCCTAATGGCTTCCATGTTGCAGAACATTGGTGGGAAATACTCACACACCTGACCAGAATTGATCATCCATATGCTATTGGGCAACATCAAGTTGTGCCATGTGTTGCATGTTTGGCCCATAAGTGTATCATTAGGACAGCATACTGAGCAGGCGCATCCAGCCCCTCTCCAAGAATGAGAACATGGCTCCCCTGCGACTGATTTCATACTTTACACTGCCTGATACTGCAACCCATACCGTAGTGTTGTTAAGGCAGCAACATATCAATGCTGTAGTCTTTTGCTGAAATTGTACATATTAGAGTGGTATGGTTAAGGTTTTGTGCCACACTAACTACGGAGACCCTGATATCAGGGATGAAAGTAAAACTTTTGCTGGATGCTCGTTGGCCCTTTCATTACCTCGACGATTGGGCATGTACAAGCTGATAGAGGGCTGATTTTCACATCTCTGTCAGAGACGCCTGGCACCCTCGAAACTGTAAAGGTACAACTGTGTCACTCTTGTTATACTAGTTTTGTATCCCTATTTGTTCTTTTACTAACTGTGAGTGTGAAGATGCTCAAGATGAATTTTTTAGATATCACCAGGATGGACACAGCTCCCCAATGCTATTTTATCAGGTGCTGTGCCTGTGCAACAGAGAGGCGGACGTCGCCGGGGACCTGGGCCTGGTATGGAGGCCAGGGAGGAAGGCGTCGAGGGGGAACCGCCGTCAAGGTGAGCGATCCAAACATCGTCACCAACAGATGACTGGCAGAATTGTGACTCATCTGAGCAATGTACAGTGAACAGTACAGACTATGCAGTTTTACTGCGCACGAATGCTAAAGTTCTGTGGATTCGAGGTAAAAATCAGTCTGTACTGTGTTTTATTGCATCAAAGGTTGATGGTGTCAGGAAATCACATTGGCATTGTGGTGGCACACTCTGTATCCGTCCCATTAGTGGCAGCCTTCCTCGGGCAAACAGAACAGGCAGCCAGAGCAATCCCTACGAATCCGAAGCATGGGTGCTGCATCACTTGACTCTGGCCCTGAACATTTTGTTTGCACTGCCATTTTGCCAACAAATGCACTGGCCACCACTGTGGACATCCCTTGCACGCCTTTAATCATAGACATGGTGTTTCTTGCTGCCACATGTACTCATGAAAGGGTCTTTGCAGGGAGTGTGGAAATCAAAAGTACAGTCTATTATGTTTAGGATGATTCCAGAGATTCAATTTTCTAGCTAGCTGTGAAGATCTCATATTGCTTGGAAAAATGCAGAAAGGTCCCATCTTCAAATGGCAGGGACAAAGAGATTCATGTCAAGTTCGATCCAGCAGTGCATCCAGACAGAGCCAGTGTTGGGCTTGAGACTGTTCTTACTGTTTTCCCAGGAGGCCTGGTCGAAGAGACGAAGATGAAGAAGAGGAGATTGTCCCACCTGATTATCCACCTCACAATCCAGCAGAGTATTATGTGCCCAATGCCTTAGAAGCAGCTGGCCTAGAGCTGGGTCAGCATGACTACATGGATTTGGAGAGAATGTTCCAGGTGAGCTGCCTCCTTGTCCCCTTTTGCATAAAAATGCCATTATTGAGACTTGGTCTGTTTTACAACGGCAGCAAAGGAGTCCAATTGAGATGTGCACCTGAGTTCTGTATGCTGCATTAAACACACTGCACTGACGTTGTCATTGTCAGAATAAACGAATGCGTATAGCTGTGCAGCTATTTGCAAACAGCATTGGCCACGTGTGGATTGGCAGCTGTGCTTTCGAACCCATAGCACATAGGGCACTGCGCTGGCAGCTGACTGCTGTGTGTAGCGGCAAGTACTGTTGGGGCAAAGCGTATTGAGACTGCTTTGCCGGACAACAGCTACATTTGTCTTGGGGCAGATTTTGCACTCCATTTGACAAACTTCAAAGCTTGTTAGGGGACCACAGAACTACTTTCTGAGAGCAGTGTGCTTGTGCACCACAGTGTAAAAGCATAGCTGACAGGGCAAGAGCTAATCAACCAGCATGCATGAATTCCCAGCGCATGTCCAAAGAGCCCTTCAATTAGGGGTCACGATATGGCAGTGCGCTTCACACCATCTGATCAAGAATTGTCACTGGCATTTGGCATGCAGGAGGTGCATGGCTGTGCATTGGGTAGCATTCTCTTTGCCAGGTTCAGTGACCACTGTTTGATGTCCTTGCTGGCTGGCAATTTACAAGTCCACTTACCAAGCATACGCAAAGGCTCCCTTGTTTCACAAACAGTACATCTCGACAGCTGATTGCTGCCAGCTCCTTGGGAGCCAGGTACAAATTGCACACCATGTTCTTTGAAGATGGACTGTTCAGCTTGGTGTATTATCGTTATTGAATTCGACCTCTGCTGCTGCACCTGTTGCCACATTCACATTTGTTAACATGCTAGTATGCACGTGGAGGTGATGGGTTCCTTTGTTCTCTGTGCTGGCAGCTGGCGCTCGAGCCTCAGCACAGCATAAATTTTGGCCCTCCTGTTCACTGGAGCCGCCTCACAAATAGGATAAGCCCAGAGCAGTACTTGGAGGCAAACAAGCACAAAGTCGTGGAGGTGATGAAGGTGCAAGGCATGGAATTGACGGAAGAAACTTGGAAGGTACAGTCTGGAAGGTCCCGATGTGGCCCCTGTGACTGTGTGCCTGCTGCAATCTCTTCAGTACTGCTTGGAGCAGCTCTAACTCAGGGTTGAACCTATCAGTGGATGTGGAGAGTGATATTATAAGTGTGTCCAAATGGAGTAATGTGGGTGCCCCCTCCTGCATGAGAATTGTTGAAAGCTTTTATCATGACGTAGAAATTCTGTTGAAAAGTCTGAGTGCAGCAGGTGAAGGACACAGGCCAGCCACTGCCAGTGTGTTGTTTCACTGGTGCTGCAAGGTGGCCATGTCAGCAGGCATTTTGTAGTTGGCGACATAGACTCCTCGTTCTGCTCAGAAGCAAGTTCAGCATTGATGCGTTTGTGTGTCTTCATGTAGGAAGTCAAAGAGAAAAGCATCAAAGACTTTCAGGAATGGGAAAAGCAAATGGACATGGAGAAACTCATGGCTGGCGACAGCCTTTTTGGCAATGTGAAGGTGTGTGCAGTGTTGGATAGTGTTACAGAATGGAAGCAACAATGTTTGCAGCTTTGAGTTGCCCGAATGTCGTTCTGTCACACTTGAGGGGAGCAGTAGTTCGGACTTCGACATTCTTGGCGTCACTTCTGTGTCAGCCCTCCCTTCTGCTCTCAGCCCAGTTCTTGGGAATGTTTTTGGGAGATTGAAGTATCCCATGTACTGCACTTGCTCACCTATAACTTGGCAGTATGCATTGTAGTAGCAGCAGTAGCAGCCCTGTACTGCAGCAGATTTATGCATAGCAATATGCAGATCACACCAGTGGTGCTGCGGTAGCACCACAGTAGTATGTACAAAGTACCTCAATCCAAGATTAATTGTCGTCTATTTGAATGAGAAATTTCGGTATGAAAACGGCTTCTAAATTACAAAAGAAGGCCAGAATCGGAAAGATTGGTTCTCAAAACTGTTAGATTCCATTATCAAGAAAAAGTCAACCTTCATCCCTGTGAGTATCCTCTGAAAATTGCCCTGGGTCGGCCAAAAAAAGCTTGTTTAGATTCCGCATTCCCAGAGACCCTTTCAATTTTGGGCTTCTCCCATGCCTGCAAGCAACAGTGCTAGTCATTGCCACTGGCTTTTTGGCCAAGGGGGGCATCCAGCATGTGGCATAGCTCTTGCCAAACCCACTCAACTGTTCTTTGATCCTTCTCGAGGGTGGCAATTGTCACAACAACGACGATGCTGGAAATCTGCGATGTTCTCAATCAGATGCCCAACCTTTTCTGAGCGAAAAACGCTCAGGTCCAAGATCTTGAAGGTTGTGTTGCGTGCAGGCTATCTTTCCAACATTGCTTTGTAGCCTTTCTTGGAGACTCTGCCTCGATTGATGCTTGAATCGAGGATTCTGTGCGCAGCTTAGATCAGAATCCACAAACAGGTCCCAGCGGCCAGTTCTTGTGCCCGGTACTCAATCCATCACAGCCTAATGAGTCTCGACTGCTTCAAAAGACACCACTCACCATTCTAGACATTCTCCCAGCCCGCAATCCTTTCAAATCCCAAAACCAGGTCAGTTCACGATTACTGTCAGAATGGCCAATTCACTACTTGTCCGCGATTGATGGGGGTGATGGCCATCGCCTTGTCTCACACCTTGTAGAGAGTATTGGGAGACCTCCCATGGTTGTTGTAGCTGCCGCGATGGAGGTTGCGCAGTCCTGGTCCAGAATTCTGGACCCAGAGCATAGCTTCGATCCAGTAGATCAAACTTCAAATTCTAGCCGTAAGCCGCGGCGAGTTTGACGATCAGCACTTTCGAAACGTGTTTTCTGCCATTGCTGTGCCTCTTTGCAAATACCGTGGTGACCATCACTCCAGACAGCATGGATAGTTTTGTAGCTGCGGCTGTTTCACGGTCACCAAGGTGTGCTCAAAAACAACAAAAACGGCCGTTTTCGCCGCCACGTCGAAAACCAGCCGGTCTCTGGCCAGAGGACCCTTGCTACAAAGTACTGTCAAATCCTCATTATTTAATGGAATGAGCTCAAAATTTGACAATATACTCCAACCTCGCAAGCACAACTTTTGGTGAAATTTCACTGAAAATTGATGTGGCTAGGATGGAGAAGTGATGCCCCGAAGTCATAGACGACAATCTGTCTTGAGTGGAGGAAGTATGTGACAAAACGGCACCTTTGCCAGAAATGTCTGCAGAGGAATAGACAGCAGTCGTGTTATCAGAGTTGCAGGAGGCAATTCAGTTAGTCAAGACTCCAATGTCATGAAACTTTAATAGCACTCAGCATTGGGCACACTGTGAACCTAGCAATTGTGCGTCATGCCTTGCAACAGTGGTTTGAGTTTGTTTTGGCACCCTTGCTGGGGTTGGAGTTGAGAATCACATTGCCAATCTCTGTTCTGCATGTGAGAATAGGGGTCAGTAAGCCTTGTCCAAGGTTTGCAAGCTGCCGCTTAGTGCGGCGTCTGCCAGTCATGCAGTCTTGAGCACTCTTTTCCAAAAGTGCACATGAGCTTTCTCATATTTCACAGAACTGCAGATGCTGTGACCTTTGTTGTTCAGATTCAGGGAAGCTACGCCAATGGCGACCTGCGTGTTGTCCTCTAGTTGTTACGATCCTCTATGTGGAGTCCTAAAGTGCCCTTTGGTCAACACTTTGTCACCTTCATTACTGCAGCGTCAGATCGCCGAGATCGTTCCTAAGGACTTGAGGACAAGGACCCAAATACAGGCGGAGAATTACTAATGTCACGCAGTTTGTAAACATGTCGAAATTTTGTCTAATTATTGCAAGTTGTACTGCTGACCTTGTTGGGTCAAATATGGGATCAAATAGTATTGGCACTATATGAATTGCATTGTATTTTATTGTATTGTATTGTGTGGTAATGACCTCGTTTGCTGTTATTTTGTCAATTATTGACCATTGGTTTCGAGTGGTTGTTGGCGCCCAGGCCGAAGAGAGATTCCTGCAAGAGCTTGTTGAAGAAAACGTCCCTGCAGGGCATCCGCTCCTGGGCCACATGCATCAAACCCTGAAGTCGCTGGAGAACAATCCGCACTGGACGTTTCAGCAGAAGGCAAAGTTCATTTCTGGCATGATTAAGGATTTGAATTCCCAACAGGCATCGTCAGGGCACTAGTCGCTGCAACATGATGCTGTTGTGCGTTGCCCAACTATACTGAACCAGGCCTAAAAACAGGGCTGTCCTCAGGAGAGGGCATTTTCAAGGAGCTCATTTATCCACCTGGAAAGGATCATGATGCTGAATCGCCTCCTTGCTTGAAAGATGAACTTGGGACAGTTTCAAGTAACATTCTAACATGCACATGCCATGCCAGGTGCCCTCCCCAAGTCCCCCACACCTTGGTTGCACATAGGCAAGACCCCCACACCTTGGTTGCACATAGGCAAGGTTGTTGTGTGTCAGGAAGGGGCATCTCAGACATTGCAGTGGCCACATGACTATCATTACTTGAACTCGATGCTGTTGAAACCTGGAATCTCAAATGTTATGAATACTTGGCGGGAACTACGCCATGCTGGTGATCTGTGTACAACGAACGGACGGCTACGTTTGTTTACCTATTCTTAGACTAAGGTCGTCACCAGTCGGGTCATCGCAGGTTCTTGACTGCTGTCGGTGACCGACCACAGCTGGTTGGTTGCTGTCATTGTCTGAAAATCTTCGCCCACGCTTTACAGCGTTAGCAAACACCAAGGCACACCTGACGATAATACTGCTGCCACACCTCTGCGCTGCGGTGCCTCTTTCTCACAGGGCCAGCCAATCAACTTGTCTCGACAAATTGCTTAACCTTCCCACCGCATTTGTATCTCCCTCGCGACAAGTGCGCATGCATACTAATCTGCAATGGCGTTCTCCGCTCAAGCACCTCCAACGCGCACCCCGAACCTGGCCCCTGCCCAGCCTCCCCTTCACCCTCACCCCCGGGGAACTTCCACCGTGCCAGCCGGCCGCCCGCTCGACGCAGCTGCCGATCGACGAACGCCCTCTCAACCACCGAGGCCCTTCTCGTCGACTTCCCCACAGCTTCCAATGGGCACAAGCACAAGGGCGCCCTAATCCAACCGACCCTCGAAGCCATCGCCAGCCCTTCACCCGCCCCCGCCCGCCTGCTTCTCGGCGGATGCGCTGAAGTGTGGGTACTCCATGGCCGCCTCCACCTCCTTGGCCAGCTCCGGCCCCAAGAACTTGGCCAGCACGTGCAGCGCGGCGTCGATGCCCGCGGTGACCCCCGCCGCGGTCACCACGCGCCCGTTGTCCACGACCCTTCTCCCCTCCTGCACCCTGCACGCCGGCGCGACCTGCCGCGACGCTTAGGCCAATCAATCTCGACTGCCTGAACTGCTCGACGATCCAAAATCGAGGCCGCGGCCTGCGGCCCGCAGGGTCCCGATCAGCGGCTTTCGGCAACCGCTCATCTCGCTGCGAGGCGCAAGGACTGGCGGATACAGCGCAGGGTTCGTTGAATCGACATGGTTTCATTGAGGACCAAATACCATTGCTACAGCGCCTGCGGTGAAATGAAAAAACGAGGCAAGCCTAGCGTGCACTTGAACACCGTAACAGCGCCGATCTCCGCATGCGCACCTGCCGCAGCACGTCCAGGAAGTCGTGGTGCGTCGTGGCCTCCAGGCCGTCCAGCAGGCCCGCCCTGCCCAGCACCAGCGCGCCCGTGCACACCGACATCACAACCTCCGCTCCCTCGGCCGCTGCCTTCAGCCAACGCACACCGGCGTCCGTGAAGGACCCATCGCGGGTCCCCCTGCCGCCGGGCACCACGACCCAGTCCGGCTTCGGACACCCCTCGAAAGAATAGCTGGGGACGACGATCATGCCGCCCTCGACCGTCAACGGCTGGGTGGTTTCGGCGACGGTGTAGACATTGAGCCGGTCGCCCTGGACCTCGTCGAAGACTTGGTACGGCCCGGCGAAGTCGAGGAGGGTGGCTTCTCTGAACAGCACCACGGCCACGTTGGTTTGGGGCGCGGGCCGCTCCATGGGGGCGCAGTTCAGTTCGTGCTTTCCCCGCCGTTCGGCGGCCAATATACCGAACGCCGGACCTTGGGGACCATCGCTGAGTGGCACCGGGGTGACGCTCTGATTGAGTGATGGTGACGCGAATGGACGTGAAGGACAGCCGGCGCTCGCGTCAGCTCCGTGTGGCAATCGCGCAATCTCTGCATCACAATGACAGTGAGATTAAGAAACCAACAGCTCTCCACTTGACTGGCGCCCTTGTTTGCAGGGTTGGTCTTTGCGTTTGTGGCATCATTTTCACGGTTATACTATTTTTTCCGGTAGATACGCGGTGAATACACAGTGCTTACGCCGTAAGGCCAAGCCTGGCTGCACCTGCGTGCGTATGCATTTGAACCCGCCGGCCCAAGTGGAAAAACTCACGCGCCACACGCAACCGGCTTTGGAAGGTGAGCTTGGCAATTTTGATTGGCCGCCACATTGGCACACGCCTGAGCACGCCAGTCAAGCGGAAAGCCGCGCTCGCCACCCATGACAACGATTGGGAGGCGAGTGCAAACGCAACAGTGTGCATTGGTGGACTGGCGCGTGTTTCACTGGACACATTTCCGAACCCCAGGGCTATGTTCGGCCCAGTGTATGGCAATCAGCGGAGCATATTAGCGAACCCTTACCAGCAAGTATCCTTTAGAACTAGCTGCCAACTGTGAGGGCGCAGGCTCCATTTGGCTGATTCCATTGCTTTTGTCCATCCCACCCAACGTCGCGGCCCTTTTGGACACGGCAGCACACAGAACTGGCAAATCCTTGTGCGTGGAGCACAACTGCTTCCATTGGCGGAGCAGCCAACTGTTCAGTGCATCCGCAGAAGTAACGCAGCTGGGAGTGTTCCGATCCGTTCCTTGCCGACCTGCTAATTTCGAGCGAATCAGATCGCAAACAGTTCAGTGTGGGTGGGTGGGTGGGGGGAGAGAATGTATTAGAGAGAATATATTAGAGAGAATATATTAGTCGCTCTGTCTTTTCCGGTGAAGATCCCTTCTTCTTCCGCTGACAAGCCCAACGTGGGTCAGTGGGTCAGTGGGTCAGGGTTTGGGGTTTAGGGTGGCGAAACAAGAAGGGATCTTCGGAAAAGACAAAACGACCAATATCATTGCGGGGCGGAGCGTGTGTGTACAGGTCCCAAGGGCCCCACAGGGGGGCCTGTGCACCCGCTCGTTGTATGCGAACGCCGAGAAGCCAACCCGACCCGTTCGCAGTGAAGAGGGAGCCGCGCCGCGATCGCGCCGACATCGCGCAGCCGTTGAACCGATACTTCATTGTTGGGCCACCACGCGTTGTGTCGGCAGGGGGCCCGCGGCATTCGTCGTCGCTGCCTCCGCGGCTGGGCGGCAGCCGTCGAAATGAAACGATTGGTGTCTTCCGCTCTCCGCGGCACCGGGGCACCTTGCCCCCTGTCCGTGGCGTCCCTGCCGCGGCTGTTCAGCGGCCCCTCGGTCGGCGTCTGCTTCTGGCCCCGGAGAAGCGCTGTCGTCAACGACCCAGCGCACGGGAGGCATTGGCGGACGGCAGGTGCGCGGTGTAAAAATATTGCCAAAGGATTGCGTCCCGACGTTGGCTGATAGAGTTACCGCTGCAAGCTCTGGGGCTGCACGAAGTTTGGGGAATGGCGTGCCTAGTCATGAATTGTTGTGTTGGGTGCATTGGCACGTCAATGATGCGACGCCTGACTTGGTGTTCGGTGTTGTTCTGCTTCTCTGATGTTCAGTTCTGCTCTGATTCTGTTTTGATTGTTAATTTTGTTCTGTGCGGCGACGGGCAGTCTGCCTCTATGTAATCTTGATCAACGGTGTGCCCAATGGTGTGTTGCAATCCGTTGCGTTGGGCAGCAGTCATGCGGCAAGATTGCCGCAGGCTTTTGCAAACCTATGTTTGTGTCACAGCGAACTCATGCTGTCCGGTGGTTTGGTCATGCGTTCTGTTGTGGCCACACACATAGGACGCCTGAATAGATAATAATGTGCTGAAGCCAGAAGCAGAATTCTCTTACCATTGTAATGCGAGGCGATTGTCTTTTCAATGGTTCCATGCCCTGTAAAAATTCTGAAAGGGACATGTTTGGTCTCAGGCCAGCTTTGGAAGCAGTGCAGATGTGCCGTAGAACTTGAGGTTCGACATTTCAGTGACCATCAACCTGCATCAGGCACAGCCCATGCAAGTAGGTGTCACAACGGATAATAGCTGGGAAAAAGAATCGCAGCAGAAGGCTGAGAAGCCCATGCATGCTGCTTGCTTGTCGCGGATCTTCCCAAGATCCATTTTAGATGCTGATCATTGTCACTGGACACCTCAATGTCACATTGCTCCCTGCAGCACCAGCCAAGCGATCGCCCTAATGGATGTGTTCCAAAGCTCCCGCTCCCTACCAACTTGATTTCAGTTGCAGTATCCAGTTCTTAAAAAAGTTCATTGGATTGTTTCAAAATGGCAGCAAATGCAGATTCAGCGTGCATGGTGGCCAGTGTGGCACTGGAAAACCTTTGTATTGCCGAGGAAGGAGGTTTCCTATTGCAATACCACAAACAATTGTTATTGAACCACCCTGTAGATTTGCCTGCGCCTCCCATTTCAATGGATAAGTCCGACATTGTTCACCTAAATCCAGTATTGGCACTAAACTTATTGGATCTCCTTTGTACATTCTCAGGAAACATTGGTGTTTTGGTTGTCGATTTTGATAACACCCTCACAACAGGAGACACGACAGTGAACTTGATAGCTGCAGTGATTGCAGCGGCAGGCCAGGTAGAGTGCACAAATAAGCTTCTGCTTTCCTTCAATGCCCGGTTGTAGGCAGGGCCCTGTGTTGGTGCTGGGGGTGATTGCTTCCTCGGGAGTCTCCAAGCCCCTCAGATTGTCAGATGTTCTTGCAGTGTGGCAGATTGCATCTTCCAGAGGATCGTCCTGTAGATGAGCTGAACGTGCATTTTAAATGATTGCATCCAAAGCGAAATGGCTGTGTCCAGTTTCTGTTCCCTCTTCCTTTGTTGCTGCCCATGGCAGGACATGTGCACCAAATTGCTTCAGTGCCTGCAATTGGTTGTGGACTTGCCCTGCAGGAATGATGCCTGCAATTAGTTATGGACTTGCCCTGCAAGAATGATCCCCAACGATCTATGCACGCCTGATCATTGCATTTTGTGTTCCTAGACAGCAGGATTGTGTCTTCGCTTTGATTGTGAGTGCAGAATCCAAAGTTAAAGCTAAGAAGAGTAGTTTGCTAAATTTTCATCGGCGCATGCAGAGACTAGGTGGCACACCAGAGGAGGAGGACAGACTAGTGCAAGAGAGGATGCAAGTGCTGAGGGGGGCAGCAGAGGCTTATCAAGCAGCTTTGGATGCTTTAATAGAAGATCTGATCTCTCAGGTGCAGACGGTTTGTCAACAGAGAAGAAATTTGCAACAGACGTGTGCCTGACGATGTAATTTGATGTGTGCTCTGTTTTTGCCGAAACTGCAATTTCTTCAGTAGTTTGATTGCAGTGTTGAGAGTACACCAAGAGACTGCGACATCAGCCAGTAACTGCTGTGCTGACTGGTTGCCGTGCTTATTAGAGACTCCTGGACAGCACAGCTCATGTTTTGTGCATTACATGTGGAGATGTGGTATTGCATGCTGAGTTCTATGACCTCTCAACACCTTCACACAAACCCCTGTCCCTTGAAAATGTCGACTCGCTGTTGGCTGGTCTGGCAGTTGTGCTGACAGTGCATGGCACATGTGCACCAGCATGGTGGGCAAAAAAATGAGATGAATTGATCAAAGGCGAAATGGAGTGGTGGACTCTTGCAAACTGCTGCCTATGAGCTGTAGAAAGACTTTTGTTGTGGTTTGTGACCATGACTGCCTTGCAACCGCCTTGAGCCCCTGACACTTGCAATTCATTGCATCCTAACAATGAGAAAGACACAAGATGGTGCCTTTATTCAATGGAGGCAAGTAATAGGGTGGGAACTGTGTTGCCAGTTCAGCACTGCGAAGGGGAAGCCAGAATTCGACATGGGTACAGTGCGCAATATGTGTGTCAAGCTGTCTGAGCATGATCGCTATTGGTGCCAGCGCACCATCGACACCGGAATCTTGAAAGGTGCGGTACGCCCTCTTTCTCTTCTGCTGCTGACATGTTCGTTTTCCTGGGTCTGTAGAGTCATTGCAGTGTCCACCATTGGCTTGCTGAAGTCAAGTGCAGCAGCCATTGAAAGATTGTATGCACAGCACCGAGGGACAAGTTGCAATAGTTGCAATGACCCTACAACTGTGCTGGATTAATGGCAGCAAGATTGCAGGAGCTGCTGTTCAATACGTTTGCCTTTTGAGGGGAAAAAGGCGACGATGTGCACCCACACATGGAAATGTCTTGCCTACCCCCACTTTGTTCACAATTCACTACCCTGCCACAGCAGGATTGCGTTTAATGAGTGAACCTAGTGAGTGGCTCCACTAGTGCACCTTTGGCATGCAATGCCCTGCGGCATCGTCCTGAGGGTTTGGTATGCAATTGCTGTCAGGGGCACGAAGGGAGGATGTTGAAGAAGCTGCTGTCCGTGGAGTCACACTCTGGGAAGGGTGCTTGGACGTTCTTGGAAGGGCAAGGCAAAAGGGATGGGGAGTGCGCGTGCTGTCCCAGAACTGGTCGGCACATTTGATAAAGTCGATGTTGGGTGACGATGCAGCAATCCCTGAAGGGTAAGATAAGGTATTCAATATCTGCAGTGTGTGGAGTCACTGCTGCATGGGAGATCATGTGCCTTTGCATGCAAGACGGCATGGCTGTGTTGAGATTTTTATTAGCCAGTTTGGTAAGAACCTTCACCTACCAGGCTATGTTGGGTGTGGCTGGCTGGCAGCTTAACTGTGTGGCTGCAGCACGGCAGACTTGGACCCTGTGACAAAGATAGCCCTGGAAAGTGGTGGTGCTTACTATTTTGGATGGACCTGCTCAGGGAAACCGTAGTGGGTGGCAGTGTGTGGTACATATGTAACACAAAAGTGAATTGCGGGCATTTCCCTGGACTTATGTGATCGTTTCTGTTCCCACAGTTGGTGGAGCTAACTTGGTGAACGAACTGTAAACCAGCAGCAGATCCAGGGAGCTCTGTCGCTTTCCGCCTTACGATCTGCTTGTCCGGGTTGCTGCATGTCTGTTGCAGGTTTGCTTTTCCAGCACGAATTCAGCAGAAAATCGCATGACTGTGTTGTCAGGAAGGCAGACGCGGCCAGAGATGCGATTCTGATCACCTCAAATGAGCTGGCATATGAAAGTGAAATCACAACAGGAGATGTTACAAGGTGAGCTTGTGGACTGGTAGCACAGTGCTGGAGAACTGGCAAAGAATATGTCACCTTTTTCTCATTGTGTGCGCATTCATTGCCTGACTTTCTACCCAGCAAACATAAACTTGAAGTGCCAGCACCAGCGATTGTCTCATGTGGCCATCAATGAGGCTGCTCCTCCACTGTGTGCAAGGGTCTGGTGCACCATGTATCCCTGCCATTATTTGCTCCATGTGAGTTTCAGGGGAGGTGCGAACCACCTCCTCAGCTCGGTATCATATCCTGATATCGATGTCAGATCTTGCAAAGCAATTGTGGTTGGGAGTGATTCCCTGTGTGTCACCAAGGCAGCCAGGCTAGCGCACCATTCAATTACTAGCGCACCATTCAATTACAGCAGTTGTGTGGACGTCTCTCCTACGTGCTTGTATAAGCCAATCAGTTTATTGATCAGTAGGACAAGATAGATTGTGAAGCCATCAAGCCCCTGTGAACTCCATGGAAGGAGCAGGTGACTGACGATGTAAATTTGTTGACCGATGGTGCTCCTCACCGCTCGGGAGATTCAGCATAAACCGATTTTTTCAAGCAAACTGGAAAGGCATTGTCACCTCTGCAAAACTGAGTGTCCCAAAGAGCAGACAGCATGAAAACTAGTGTTTCAGTTTCTGAGATCCCTGTGCTTGAAATTGGCAGCAGTACTGCAGATATCTCGAAGCATGCGATTTGATAGGCATTCACATTGATGGAAGTCCCAACTGTACAAACTCCTTGAGGAACATTTTCATGCACTGCAACCCTACAGAGTTCCTTGAGCCATCCTGCCTTTGACAGTGGAAGGTCCTGCTAGGTTGTGCTTGTGTGCTTGCTGAAAGAAGTGGGCATTGCCATGGTGTTTTTTCAGTCCCTACCATTGTCAAGAACTGTAGTGTACAGAATGGTGCTGGACATGCTGCAAGGAAAGGAAAGGGAAAATGAAAGGGTTTGGAAATTGGGGTGTGGGGCACATGGAGCCTTGCTGCGACAAAGCGTGTGGCTGAGTTGTCGCCTGCACATGTGGCATTGCAGAGTGGTGGAGTGTGCTGATGACAAGGGCCAGGTGTTTGACAACATGTTGTTGGAGGAAATGTCAAGGGAAGGCAGAGACCCTCATAGTTTGTCTGTGTACATTGGAGATGGTCCTGGAGATATCCTACCATTGCTGGCGGTAGGTACGTGGAAACTGCTTCCATGTCCAGAGGATTTGTGGCTTCCTAACAGCCTTACAATCTGCAGGGTGCTTGTTGTGTGGCCTATGTATTCGGAAGTGTCAGCTTTTTATTTGCAGCGTTGCATTCAGTATTTGGCTTTGCAGGTGTATTGTTGCAAAAAGCAGCTGTGAGTCCCAGCTGTGCCACAACTGAAAGATCCCTTGTTCACGTTGCTGCAGGCCGACTTCGGCATTGTGTTCAACAAGAACAAGACCATGGGGGACATTCTCCGGACTCTGTGCATAGAAATCAAGCCATTGACCGAAGCACCGATGGATCCCAAACTCCAGGGTATGTGTCAAATTGCTATGAGCCACACACGTCAATATAATTACGCCATTTTTGGCAGCAACGCTGTCTCAGGAAATGGTCTGTTTGTATTCTGAACAGTGCTGTCCATGGACCCCTGCAAGCCAGGTGCATCGAAAACCAGTGAGAGGGCAGCGAGTGATGCAACAATTTTGGTGATGAGTTCCTAGCATGTGGAGAGTTTGTTTTGCCAACCATGTAAAGGAACAGTTGAGTCTATTTTCAGAATGGAATAATTTCCCATAAGCTTGAATTTTGTGGGTTGATTCTTGCTCCCCAGTTGCACAAGCCTTGATTCACTCATGCTGGCGTTGCTCATCACCATGTCATACCCTGTTCATCACAATTCCTGTACTTGCCTTTGTCAGAAAATGACAGTGCATTGTTCGCGCAATCCCATTGCCAGGACAGAGTTCATGATCAAAGCAAATTGTGTCATTGCTTGGAAGGTGCAAAGGGCAGGCTTGTTTCTCGAAGGCAAATTGGAGAAAAGAATTGAAAACACCATACTATTGCAAACATGCGTACGACGATGTGAATCAGTTGTTTTTTTGCATTTAGGTGACATGCCTGTGCTGTACGAGACGGCTTCATGGCATGATATCAGTGTATTCTTGTATGGTCCTGGTATGAACATGCCAGCACAGGAGCCAGATCCACCAATATCTGTGCCGAGGGTCTTAATAGTGGCTGGCTCTGATTCTGGTGGTGGGGCTGGAATACAGGCTGATATAAAGGTGTGTTGAATGTAGTTGATTTCTGCATGCAGTGAAGCTTGTTGGTCTTTGTGTGCTGTTGTGATGGGAGTCAAGGCACCTGGGTCCTAAAACACCAGTTGCAGTACTGGTCTCCATCTTTTGTTGCCAATGATGTGGGTCTGTTGCTGTTTAACGTGTGCACACTACTGATGTGCCAGAAGCCTGAATGAAGCTCAAGGAGTGATGTGTGCAGATTGTTTGCTTGCTTGTCTGCATACTCTTTCTGTCATAGTTAAGCTGACAGTGTGGTTACTGCTATTGCACAACACTGAAGACCCTTCATGCGTGTTGTTGATTCCAGACTTGCCTCATGAATGGCGCCTTTGGATGCGTGGCAGTCACTTCCTTGACATTTCAGAATACACAAGGCATTGAAGGGGCTCACAACGTCCCAACAGATGCGATTGAAGCTCAAATCGATGCAGTGCTGTCAGGTTTGTTGTGGATGTGGAGGTACTGGGCAAGCTATAGCTGGACAGCACGGCCTGATGGCCCTTAGTACTCTGCTAACTGGAACATGGCTTGCTATTGGCAGGGCCATGCTTGGGCTCAGAATATTTGGGGAGTGGCTGTTATTGTTATGATGCCCGACTCTGCGCACCATTCATACAAATTGGCTGTTGCTGTTAGGTATCACAGTATTAACTTTGTTGTCTTTACTTGCAGATATTGGTGCAAATGCTGTCAAGACTGGTATGCTGCCCACTGCAGAAGTTGTAGAACTGGTGGCCCGCAAGGTTGCGGAATACAAGATAGAGAGTCTGGTGGTTGACCCTGTCCTGGTGTCCACTAGCGGGCAATCTTTGGCAGAGAACGATGTTGGAGGCGCCATTCGTGAAGCCCTTATGCCACTTGCAACGGTGGTGACCCCAAATGTGCCTGAAGCCGAAGCTCTTTTGGGTAAGCGTAACAGTCCTCCTTGAATACTTTTTAGCTTCGTCACAAATCACTACTCTTTCTCCATTTGGACGATGCGGGTGTCTTTGGGATATGTGGCTTGCTTGCGTACCTGTGTACTATGGACAGGACTTATGGACAGCATGTGAATCTCAACCCTCAAGGACCTTGCATGCTCACTGTTTTGCCTGTTTCTCTATCCGCACTCTAGTTCAACAGGGTTGCCGTCCGTGCCACCAGTATTGTAAAGTATGATGTGAAACCTTAGAGGCCACGTATGCAGGAGTTGAAGGAGGCTTGTTGTTCCAGACGAGGAGAATGTGGATGCCTGGGCAGGAGTCTTGTCAGCAATAATAGATTCGCACAAGCTGTGTTAACATTTTGTGTAAGCACTGTGTGATACAGTGGATACTGTTGCTGCCAGCATGCATCAGGCAATCGTGGAGCCACAATGTCCTGTAGCTTTCTTGTCTCTGTTCCGTGCTGGCGAATCTTTGGCGCTCCAAACATAGAGCCCTTTTTTCATGCGCTTGCAGGAGGGCGAACTATCAGAAGCGTGGATGACATGGAAGTTGCAGCTCGTGAACTTCATGAATTCGGCCCCAAATACGTCTTAGTAAAGGGTGGCCACTTGGTGTCCAACGCTCAAAAATCAAGCCACAGTGGGTTGGAGGTTGTCGATGTACTTTATGATGGAAACACGATTCTGCATCTACGGCAGCCAGCTATCATGACAGGCAACACCCATGGAACAGGTGGGCGATCTGTCAGGTGTTCATTCTTGCTGGTTCCATTGGCATGAGATTTCTGCAAGAGACCAGTGGGTTGAACAGAACCCATTTCAAGTGTCCTCATTTTCTTTTCGTTGTCTTCTGCAGTATGGAAAAGAGGCTCACGACATTTTTTGCGCAGGAACGGAGATGTGCAGGGCATCTCCTTCTTTTAAGAGCCAATCTTTGACACGTTGCAGTGAGCACTGGTTTGCACTGTTTGGGGAGGATGGGCCCTTCGTTATTCGGACGCTCTATTTTGACTCTGCCTGATGTGATCAAGCCTACGTTCTTCGTGTATCCACATGGGGTTAGGGTGTGTGTGTGTGGGGTGTGGGTTGTGTGTGGGGGGGTCCCATCGATAGCGTGGAGTGAGTTTGGTTGCTTTGGGGGCAGTGGTGCTGGAAATGCGACCACCTTGGTGTTGATCTTGGGCTTTGTCTCGTGGGTTACCATCATTATCTTCTTTGTATTTTGCAAAGGCTTTCCTGGGAGTTTTTTTATCTTGTGCTGCTGGCCCACTGGCAGTCTTTCAGTCCTTTCGGTGGGGGCACTGGAGCGCTTTTGGTCGGTTGCACTGTAACGTTCTTGTGACCAGCGTCGTTGCTAGTCTGATGGGTGCAAGGCCTGTACTATTACTAAGGTTGATTGACAAGTGGTAGCACCAAGAACTCTTCCTTCGGGACAAGGTGCTTGCATACATGTGATTTGGTATTTGGCATTTAGCACAAGGATTTAATGAGCGCAAATTTTGTGCGCAATTTTGGTACCGCTGTAGCACGTGGGGGATCCCCAATAACGGTATCTATTTGTTTATGATACCTGCTGCATGTTCTGAATGTCACACCTGATATGTCCGGGTTTTCAGGATGCACTCTTGCGTCAGCCATTGCATCTGAGCTGGCGAAAGGTGCAAGTCCATGCACGGCGGTTGAAAATGCCAAGGAATACATCACTGACGTCTTGAAAAGCAGCAAAGGCATTAGAACAGGTGTGCATTGACGTCTGCATTGTACAACTGTCAGATTTGGATGTCTGTAATCAGAACGTGCTCGGAAACATTTTGTCATGTCCACTGTTGTGCATTTCTTAGTGACTGCTGGTGGCCTCAGAGAACATGCGTGCAGAATGAGCAACACCATTTGCCCATGCGTGATGGCTGATTCACCACATGTGCAGTTGTCACTCTGCACTGACGCACGATGCTTGCCTCATGTACACCCTGCTGTTGTTGTTGGTTGAATGACATGAACGCTCAACACTGAACATGTTATGTACCACTATGTTTACGTCCATTACCTGGAATCTCATATCCATGTAGACGAGCATTGCCGATCAGTAACAAAAGACAGCTATGGCTGCCCGTGGCCCCTCTGGTGTCAATGAATCTTTGCATTCCAATTGTCGCACCTTGACAGCTGGCCAACCTCCGGTGCTCATCTTTGCAGCTTCGTGGCTCCGAAAATCCAACCCAAACTCTCAACAGCTGCCCTGCGCTTGACGTTCTCTCACAAGCCTCAAGTGCCTTTGTGTGCTGACCTCAAGCGGTCACTGAAAGTGGGAAGAAGAGCCGACACAGTAGTGCTTTCACATGATCAGTCCAGTGTGTGGACAAGATCAGTGCTTTGCATGCGATGCCATGTCTTTCTGCTGTTACCATTCGACTGCAGCTTCGAGTACCTGGCAGTGAGAAGAATGTGAGCTGCAAACATGACAAGTCGGCCACAACAGGGCATGTGACCGTTTCGCAGACTGACAGCAACACAGCGCCCCTGGAATCTTGCCCGCTGAAGTCGTGCTGTTGGTCTGCTTCGCTGTTTCAACAGGCAGGGGTGCGCAGCAGCCCTTGAACCATGGCTCCGCCATTGTTGATTGGGGTGCGCAAGTCAGAAAGCCGAGTGTTCAGCTGAGGGACCTGAGGTTGTATGCAGTGACGGACAGCCGAATGAATAGGAAGCGGAACAGGTGCGTCGGCCAAGGCCTGATTCCCTGGGTGTGTGGGCGTCCAGTACAGTGCACTTTGGTGCATCGGCAGCGTGCGGTATCAATTCTGACAACTGGGTTTGCAGTTGCCAGTGTGAAACACACCTGTCCGGTTGAATGAACACCCGGGGCAATGGACGACGTTCATCGCTCTTCATGGGAAGCTGGATCGGCTATTCAGGGAATTGCCATATCGAACGAATGGTTAACCTTGGCGGAGCTATGAACGCTTGCGGAACACTTGCTGGCTGCATTCAGCTCCAATTCTGGCCTTCTCACATGTGGTGCGACGCCTCAGCTCACTCCACGATCGGGCTTTGCATGTGCAGGTCCATGACCGAGGCTGCCTCTCTCGCCATCTCTGGCGGGGCTTCCATAATTCAGCTCCGTGAGAAGGCAATGCCCACCCAAGAATTTGTGACCATGGCCAGGGACGTCCTCGCTGCTGCGCGTCCAAGGGGCGTCAAGGTCGTCATTAATGACAGGGTGGACGTTGCCCTGGCCGTTGATGCCGACGGGGTGCACGTGGGGCAGGAAGACATGCCTGCAGCGGACGCTCGGCGGTTGCTTGGCAAGGGGAAGGTTCTCGGCGTGTCTGCCAAGACTGTGGAACAGGCGGTCAAGGCGGAAGAGGACGGGGCCGACTATGTAGGCGCTGGTGCAGGTGAGTGAAATGGATCGACGCTCGAAACCAGATCTTTACAGTCAGGCCTCTTGAGCCAATACCCGTCAGTCTTCTGCTCCTATTGGAATTCCGCAGAGAATTTGATGGTGGGTTGTGGAGAGCTGAGTGTAATGCCCAACGGTTTGTCCTGGAGAATCTGATTTGCAGCGTGTGAATCTGCGTTGATTTCAGGCATCAGAATGGGGCAGTTCCCTGCACTGTGGCGATGTCGCGCAATGCCCACATGCACTTTTGAATCACATGCAGTTCTTGTTGGCTTCCCAGTGTTCCCAACCAGCACGAAAGAGAGCAGTGTGATCGGCTTGGAGGGCTTGCGTGACATCTGCTCAGCCGTGTCCATCCCCGTGGTGGCGATCGGAGGGGTGGCGGCGGACAATGCCCTTTCCACCGTGTTGGCGGGATGCAAAGGGGTCGCCGTCGTGTCTTCGTTGTTCGATGTCGGGGACCCACAGGCATCTGGGCGAGCAATTCTTGCGTTGGTGAATCTGGGGTTGGAGAAGGGGTAGCGGTTGTAGGACGTGTGGCCGTCGATGGTGTCTGCAGGGCGCCAGCGCGCAGTGGCACATTATGTTGCTTTGGTTGGAAGCGGCGAAGCGCTGCCATTGGGTCTTCAGCGCGATTGTGGGCAAGTGTGCCACGCAGCGCGACCGCCTGACGCAGCTGGATGCGGCCGGCCAGCCTTGATGTGTTTGTCAATCGTCTCCACTCTTGGCTCATCTTTGCTGCCCGCTGTGGGGAGTTTTACGACCTCTATCGTCGCATGTCCCAGTGTCTGCAGGCGGCTTCGTTTGCAGCAAACTTTCGCGTTTCCCAAACTGTTCATTCTCGCAGTTTCTGGTATGCTGGCGAAATGCACGCCAACTGTGGGTGTAGCCCAGACGACCACTGGAAGACTCCCTCGAGTCCAATGATGCAGTTACCGAGAAATCTTCAGTGCAGACAAGAACATCTCCTCCAGGCCAGCTTCCCTGCACAGTGTCGCCAATTCGGACAACCCATTCTCCCCCAGCTCCAAGAATTCCCTGTCATTAAAGTGCCAAATGTCGCTGGGCTGTTCGCCATCATTCGGCGTCGCCAGTGGGGTGGTCGTCTCTGCCCGCACTTGCATGGCCTTCCATTTGAGATGGCGCAGACGAGACACGTACTCCACGACGTCTTCCTCGCTGCCTGTAGCGACAAGATGAAGAGGGCTGACTCGGCGCCACGGTCGAGCAGCCCATTTGCAAGTGAACATGCCCTTCCTCCATCACACGACTTGGGCATATCCGCAGAAGGAATGATCAGCAACCGCGTGGGAAACGTGGATGTAATGTGCAATACAGCTTTGAGGGTTTCAGATCCCCTCCACATTCCATATCGCGGAATTGGCTGCAACACCGCATGGGCTTGGTGAATTGGACATGCAACACCACGTGGAGCCCTTGGCAACGGCCGTGTTTGTGGTGGACGTTCCCGAGACCGGGCACATGCAGCAGTGGAGCACACCAGGGAAGAAGCAAGGCAAGAAGCAGGTGCAACGATGGGCGCCAATGCCAATCGCAAGTGCAATGGAGAAATTGCGGTGCTCCACCACTTGAGGCCACAAGCAGTCGTGCATTTGATGGTACCGGATTATGTGTGCTGCCACACAGTTGAGACAAGACGAGACCTGAGTTCAGACACGCGTATTGATGCCATCGTGTTACGCTGAGATAATAACAGCGGGTTTTCCGATCAGCAGGCAGTGGCAGTACCTTCACAGATGACGATTCCCGGATATCCTGGCTTGCTAAATCCTCTCAACCCAAGCTCCCGTGCCCAGTTCACAATGTGGCTTCGCTTCGTGGGAGACTTGATGTGATGAAACCATATCACACGCACGCCCATCTCTTGCTCTCGCAATCTGCTAGCTTGATGCTCATCAGCGCGGCTGGCAGCACTTCTTGTCCTTTCAGAGTCGAGCAACTCTTGCACTTTGTCCTGCAATGACAGACGTGGTTCATTGAAGCAACATAGAGATAACTTCGATTCACTGCGATTGCTGATCTGCTGGGCACCTCCGGAGTGCCGAACTTCTTTCTTTCTTTCTTGACACTGAAATTCTTTTGGATTCGAACAACTTTGGTGGTTTCACATCGGCTAGCATTCTTCCGCTAGGTTTATGAGAGATGTGTGGGCCTGGGGCTATTATACATCGGTTGCCTTCAGTGGCTGAAGAAATAAGTAGGACAAACACTCCAGACATACCACGGATGGGGTATGACTTGTAAATTAGAAACATTTGTATAAAAAGGATCTCAACTCAATGGAACACACTCTCTTGCGCCGGGTGCCAAAAGGACAGCATATCGTGTGGTAGGGCGGGGGGCGCCTGGACACTGACATGTGATGCAACATATTGGGATCAAACAATTGACAGACGTGGCACTCGATTTCGGGTGGCATTCGACGTGTGCTGAAGAGCAAGTCACCGGGTCACCACAAGATCCCTGTCCGGCAAGCGACATATGGTACCCGTGCACAGTTTCAGCAGCAATTGGCTATCGCGCTGTACCCGCAATGAACGAATCTTAGGCAGCAGTCGACCTGGCTTCACAGCGTTCGCCCAGCGACGCGTGCCGTCCAACATTCATCTCCCGCCCAGACTTCAGCCTCCTACCCAATGCACTGGATGGTGCAATCCAGTGTGCGCAGTTTATGTGGACCACATTCTTCGTCCCGTTGTTTTGTGTACTTTCAGCCCCTGTTTTGCAGATAATACTTTGGCCGTTTGTCAGCTGTGCACATCTCAACGTTCGTCGCAAAATTCCTACAACCATTGCTCCTTTTCCTCTCTTTTCGGGGGGAGGGGCGGGGACCAAAGGGCATCCGTGCCACATTTCGCGAAACAAATTTGTGTTGGGGATCTTTGCTATCCGTTTGTTGGGACTTTTGCAGCCTCTTTTCCAACCCACTTCCAGATGGTGAACTCGGTATCTTTAGCAGCTTGCATTCGGGATTGTTGAAGTTGGCCATTTCCAGGCCATAAATGACAGGGCAAATGGCTCCATCAACTTCATCTTCCCAGCATCAGCAGGCAACATTCCCAGCATCAGCAGCAATACCAAGCAACCGACATTAGCTACTTCATCAAGAGCATTTTACATTTGGACAAAGCAACAGCATGAGGAGCGATCAAAAAGTTACAAGCTGACCAGAAATGGGCCGCTCAACGATTTCCACGAGTTCCAACGAGTTCCAGAATCAGCTCCAGTATACATCTATGCTACCCTGCATGGCCCATTGACTACGCATTAGCATGCATGGACCCATCCGACTATCTGCGACCAGCATGGGAAGACGACATCCTTCCACCCACCCACAAGTCGTCAAGCGACCAGTCCGACATCCGAACACCATCCAAGATCTCCGAAACGGCAAAAGCGCACAGCCGCGCTTCCCTGCAATCTGACCGTCCTGCACAGCGCACCCCGCCTCTCACTCCCACTGCCCAGCAGCTGATTGGCGGTTTCCCAGCAGCCATGACTGCGACGCGATTTCGCCAAGTCGAAAGTTGGCGTTTCCTCGTCGCCCAGTGGCTCGCCCTGGGCGACCTCTGGCTCTCGAGATGGTACCTCGAGAAGTCTGACTGTCCCCCTGGCTACTGGAGCTTCGGGCTTACTGTGATCCTGCCATTCAGCGAGGAAGACGTTCAGTGGCTGCATCACCAGCGAGAGCACGGGGAAGAATCGCTGCGGTATAGGCTGCAGGAGGAGGCGCGCGAGGCGTACTACCGCACCTTGTCAACGCAACTTACGTCAGGACATGTGCCTGGGCCAGGAGAGAAGCCGGACTGGAATCCTGACTACAAGCCGGAGGCCATGTACCGCCCCTGGGCACTCCAGGTGCACCCCCATCCAACACGACCGTACACCGGCATGGGGACGCAGGCGTTCCGTCAACGTATTGCGGTGATGATCGAACGCGAAGGTGGACGGATCCAGGCTTGGCGCGGCGCGGAGCTCAACTTTTTTTATCGCCAGGTACATGTGAGCCTTGACATCAGTGTACCGCACTCCGATGATCGCTGCTGGCGGATGGAGGGTGGAGGCGTCACTCGCCGTGAGTATGCGGCCACGCATCCGTCCAGCGCCTCCGAGGTATTCCCACGCGATCGAAAGGACTTCGGGATTCAGACGGAGCCAAATGCGGCCGTACTGCCCTCCGCCGCCTTCGCGGAAGCCAGCGCGCTCGTGGCTCGACGCCTCAATGCGGGCAAGGAACCGTATACAGCCGTGGAGCTGCGCGCGGAGGAGCGGGCCTGGCGGAGGGCCATCCGACGTCAGCGACGCGAGGCGAGGCGACAGGGGCAAGTCCACGATGACGTCATGGAAGAAGCGCCCGCTGGTGGACCAGCCGCTGTACCGGCAACCCTCGGCACGACCGCGATGACGACACCAACCCTGCCACCTGGTTTTGATGGGACACACAACGAGAGGACGATGACGCCATCGTTCCCGCCAGGATTCGGGGGCTGAGGGGCACGGACTACGGAAAGTTGGTAGACGAGCCAGCGATCGTGACAGGACGGTGCCCGGGCTGGCGGATGACGCGACGACTGGAGGCCGCCTGGAGCCAGCTGGCGCAGCTGGAGCTGTCCAAGAGAATCTCTGGCGAGGGAGGAGTGTGAGAGGGTCTGGCTGGCATGCGATTGTACGGGACGGACTGTAGCGGAAGGAGATACTGATTGGGTCTTTTCTTGTCCAGTGGTGTGAACGGACTTGGAGAGGTGACGAGAGGGGGTGAACCCATGTGCAACAGCTGTATCGGACAAACGATTCTGTAATAAAAAGCCGCGGGGAGTCTGTCCCGACAGCTCTCCGGCAGGCCCCTGTGTGACAAAGAGTGTCCCAGCCGCCTGTACCTCCCCGCCGTCGCACCACAGCCCCCCGCCAGGCTCGGCCACCGCTGGCCTTGCCCCCTCACGTTACCCGAGAGTACGTGAGCCGGCCTAAGGAGCCTCGGGGCCCTGTGGTGTACCGCGCACTCACGCCGAGTGCTGGTGAGACATTTGTGGGATCCGGAGTGACTGAGGGCGGCGCATTACGCAAAGCGGGCGCCGTCGCTGGTGCTGGAGTGCCGTAGCCCCCTACGGGAGTGCGGATCGGCCGGTACGCGCAACGAGTGGACGCGGGGAGGACGTTGCGTCGTACGGAACTGGTGGAGGCCTCTGCGGTGAGGTGCGCGATGACTATGAGCTTTCCGGGATCGCCCATGGAAGGGGCTGCCGTCATGGCGGCGTTGGCTGGCGCTGTCGGACGGGGTGTGAGGTTCCTGGGCGCTGGCATCCAGTGGATTGGGGACTTCTTGATGACCCTACTCGGGTGGCTGGCCTGGATGCTGAAGATGGATGAGACGAAGACGAATTCCATTATAGGAGCGGTCAGAACGGTTTACAATGGCCTGGCCCTCCTCATTTTGTTCAACATGACTGCCGCCATTTTCTGCGCAATGGGGCAACTTCTGCATGGTTTCGGAGCCGAGGTAGGCTCGCTGGGAAGGGATCTGATGCTGCATGGAAGGACGCGGAGGCGCAGATCTGCGTGGACCAAGAGGCTCCCATTCTGGTTCATGTTTTTAGTTATCATGGGAATGGCTACGGAGGCGACTGCATGGTCAATGTATGAAGTACCTGCGGCAAAGAAGGCATCGAAAGCTGAAAAGAACCATCTGTACACTGCCCAGAAAGGGGCACTGGTCCATCAGTCTGTCTGGGATCGCATGGCGTCTTTTTGGTGGGAGAGGCTGGTAAGAAACGACGATGACGTGGAAATGGATTTGCCTCCCAGTCCGCCAGAAGGCTATGGACAAGATTTCACGAGCTGTGGGACAATTCGATGCAGTTTCTATGCACTCCAGGATCAGGCGATTGATTTGCTGATTGATGCCATCACGAATCCAAGGAAGATGTTTGAAAGGATACAGGATGCTGGAGTGTACGTCCTGGAGCATGGCCTACCGTGGTGGAACGAGATCCTAGGTATATTGATCCTATGGGGTTTGATCAATCTTTCGTCAACGATATGGATGCGGATTGAAGACATTTTCCATGCAATATACCGATGTGGGTGCGCTTTTTTCCAGTCGCCGGTTTTTATTCTGTTTGGAAGATGGAAGACCACTATCAAAGAGATGTGTGACGAGGGAAAAGAGTCAGAGGATAAGAAGGACGACAAGAAGAAGGGAAACAAGAAACAAACTACTATGGTGAAAACTGGTGGGAAAAGTGTGAGAAAGGAGAAGGAGGGAGCTGGAGAAGTCAGTAGTTCTGACCAAAGTAGCGATGGAGAGAAGCCAAGGAGAAGCAAGCAACAAAGGGAGAAAAAGCCGGAGAAGGAGCAAGAGGCTCAGCAAACGGCTGCAATCAAGGAGCAACCCGCAGCAGCTGTCAAACTGGATGATGAGCGAATCTCGGAAATGATAGCCGAAGGCGTCAAGAAGGCTCTACAGAACCAAGAAGCAACTGCAAGAAGGAGCAGGGCACCTACTCCCTACAAACGGCTGTGGTGCGATTTCTGCAAGAGTCCAACACATGACATTGAGTCATGTGCTACAAAGCAGCGGATTGAGCGATATAACCGGACTAAGGAAAGAGCCCAGAACGAGCCATCAACATCAGGGGACAAGGGGAAGGAGGTGGCCAAGGTGTCGTACATCGATCAAGGCAGTACAACGACCACTTTACTCTATACTCCAGCAGAGGTGGATGGAAATCATTTTCGGCGCTGCATGATTGATACGGGAAGTGAAGTTAACGTCATGCCTCTTCGAGAAGCTGTCAGGAGAGGGATTGCCCATAATCCAGGGGCTATTACACAAATTATCGGCTTCAATGGCGCTGCGTCACC